CTCTCAGAATCCAAATATGGGGGCCCTAGCCTCCAAGGTGATGGTGTGAAGTAGTGTGGGCCTTCTGATGAGGTCACTAAAGCCTGGGGATAATGGGAGAAATGGGCAGTTGGCAACCTAGAAAACGGCCATTGCCACAACCTAACCAGGCTAGCTTCTAGATCATGGACTTGGAGCTTTGAGAATTTTCAGTTTTCTGTAACTTAAAAGCCACTTAGGCGACATTGTGTTGTTACAACAGTGTGACCAATTCTTGCTTGATAGTTTCCAGGTCTTACTTCCAGGCTAGCCACAATAGTTACTGACCATGAATGCAAACTTACAGGTTAGAGGTATTCTGTTACTGTTAGGAAACATACTGAGTGGACTGCTTCTATCAGACGAGGAAGACATGGAACTGGTGACCTCAACCCAGGCCGCAGCCTTGGTGATCAATGGCCCCTGGTGGTTGAGCATACTACAAAAGCCACATGGGTCACAGCTTTGGTCAACCCTACAAAGACACATGGCAGACTTTGAAGAAGACAGCTATAAGTAAAATCCATGAGGTCGAAGCCTCCTCATGGAGAAATATGGACTTTTAAGACCAAAAACAAGACAAAAAGCAGGCATGTGCGAAGAGTTTCCTGTGACTTTCTACTAATGACTTCAGGAAACAACCCCCAGGATTTGCTCCCTAACCCTCCTCCATCTCTGACATAACCTCTCACCCACAGTTCTGTGTGAATGGCCATCTTCACTTTCAAGGCTGCTCACACTAACGGTGAGCATGTGTCCAGTGAAAGAATTTTGGGAATAGATATGCAGTGGCTCCTGAAAGCCCCCTCAATTCCATCCCAAAAGTATGACTTTGGGCTCCTCCTCCAGGGTGACCTATATGTGAATCAATGTAGTCAGTGACATACATCAGTCATCTGACACTTGGACTTGGGTTTTTATAAGAAGTCCTTGGAGTCATAAATTGGCAAAAAAAAAAAAAGTAATACAATATAGATCTCACAAAGTTCCTAAGGATTTTAGCTAGGCATACTAATGTGCACAGCTGATGAGAATTATGTCATTAATTATCAAATGGCTATATATATAACATTAAAGCTATATATGGCATAAGGAAAACAGGAAAAACACTACAGCTAAAGGATTTCAGATTTTGAAAGATCCTATATCCCTTTTCAAAATAAATAAGAAAATCTACAAATAATCACTGCTAGGTGATTATACAGCAGAAATATAAATCTGAATACAAAACCAGTAGAATGCAAAAGATCGTTTACAAACTATGTGCTTTCTCTATCTTAAATAGAAGCATTATAAAAATAACACCCACATATTTTTCTCATGAGCAAAGGTTTATGCTATCTAGATATTCAATAGAAAGATGCCATATAACCTAACGATTGGACAGAATAAGTGCTCACAGCATACAGAGTGCTTGCAAGATCAATCAAAGGATTAAAAGGAGATTGATTTGCAGCAGAGGCGAGAAGCCCATTACCACATTGCTCCTCATTGCATCACTTCCCTAATAACATCCAACACTAACTCACACTCTGATGGACTCAAGAGCTCTTTTATAATTATGGCCTTCTCCTATATCCCAGAGAAGGATTTGAGAGGTTCCCATTACGGCAGAACCACAAATAGGAATCTCCCTACACATATACAATTCTAGAATAAACCCACACTTGCTATCATAACAGTGCTTAGGGTTCCTAGTCCTCCATGTGGGAAACCTGGATGGAGTGCTTGGCTCCTGGCCTCAGCCTGACCCAGACTTGGTTATCACAGCCACAAGGGAGTGAATTAGGGGACGATTTCATTTCTCTCTCCCCCTCTCTATCTTTCTGCCCTTCAAAAAGCAAATTTTTAAAGAAATGTAAAAATAACTCTGAAAGATTGTTTTATCTCACTTGTAAGGTTCATTCCTTTGTACAAGAATGATGTTAATATCATTGTGTATCTGAAATATAATAATGCAAACCCTTTTGTGTACAGGATGAAGTCACCAGCTGTTCAAAAGGATAAATGCTCTGGATTTTATTTCCAATACTGGTGAAGATATGCAAAGACTGAATTTACATGCTCGGTCATTGTCCCTCATTCAGCAGGGTTCCCACCAGTTTGGTGATTAACTCACATAGGAGAGCTGGCTCAAGCATATGGCTTAAAGGAGGACATTGGACCCATTAAAACTGTTTTCTCTAACTCAACTGGCCACACATACAGACCATGAGCTGGAAACTACCAGAGGCTGTTTGATAAACATTGCCAACCTGTGGGTCCAGGAAGTTATGACATCATCCCCATTGTCCCTGATACCACTCATCCCAAACCCAGAGGGCCAGAAAGACTCACTGTCAGATGAAACAACACTCTGACTTTGTACTGGAAAACAAACTTTACGAGCAGAGGTCAGAAATTTTTTTTTCTCCTAAAGCCACTAAGGAAATTGCAGAATTCCATTTTTTCCACACAGCTGACATTGACATTTAAACTTTCTCATCATAACTTTAAATAACCGCACAGGCTATCATTTTGGCATGCTGAGCTTATTAGAATTTTTAATTAAAGTCTGTCATTATTTAAATGGATCTCACAAAACCTAAATACACCAATTTGAAAACACCTTCATCCAGCAAAAAAACATATGAACAAACTCTCCTTTAACAACAGAACATATTGCAGGAGAAAAGACTACATGTCTCCATCCCACTTGCCTCACAGCATTTCATTTAAAGCTTTAATTCTTGAAAGGCTTTTATTAATCTTCCTATTTCCTTCTCTGTAAAAGCAATGCATAAAGTTATTTTTTAATTTCTGTGACTGAAAACTTTGAAGCGTATAAACTTCTTTTAGATTGAGCAATGTATACAATTTACTAAAAATGAATAAGTATGTGTCAGATGTTAATATAGATAACATGGAAAATACAATTTTATTTGAAATTCATTTCTGAAGAAATTAGGGCTTTTGTTCATTTCTCCTTCAATTAGTTCAGATATCTATGAATGGAGACTCTTCTATTCCTATAGGAAACAGAGATGGAGCGTCAATTCCATCCCTTTTCTCTCTCCTTTTTATAGCTTTAAGTAGTAAGAGACTTTTTTTTTTTTTACAAAGATTGAAGTGGAGGACACTTATCATTTAAAGATCTTCTATCTAGATTAGATCCTCCTTGAATGTTCCCAAATGCCAAGAAGTCAGTCACCCAACTGCCAAAAAGATGCTTGCAGTGCCCTCTAACCATCCACTCTGCCAACATAGGTACTAATGTTTTCGTGGTCCTTTGGTTGTGGGATGAGATTTTAATGCCCCAGAAAAACAAATGAAACTAAGATTCAGTACGTTAATAGTCATGCTTTTCCTTTGTCAAATGAAAAAGTGGTGATAAAATGTGAGTTGGAAGAGGAAACATGACAGAATCAGCTTTAAGGCAAGTTGGGGTCCATTTCTCGGACCCCTACCCCTTCCTTCACAATCCTCTGCGTATTCCTGCAGAGCATATGGGAGAACATGAAGAAATGCCCTGTGTAAGATAGATCTGTGTTGCCATACTATTCCCTTTAGAAGCTATAAATGCACAAAATTCTCTTTAGTTTGACTAAAACACAAATTCCTTTCTAATATGTGAGCTGATACCAGATGTTATGGGAAAAATGAATTTTTAAAAAAGGTAGAGACATAATTCTTGCTCAGTCTACTTGAAAGGAAAGAAGATGCTTCATAAATCAGTGACCTGACAGTAGAGAAACCAGACTCCACAAAGGAGTCCACAAATCCAGGCACTATTTTTTATAATCTCGAGGAGAACCCTGGAAACAAGCCAAAAGCTCAATAACAGGAAAACTGCTAAATAAATTATGTTGCAGTCATATGGGGAGCTTCAAAAAGTAGATGGAAAATGCACAATATGAAAAAACTACACAAAGTTAAAAAAAATCTGCACCAAAATAAACTTATGTTAAGTTCCAGTTTTCGCTTTTTCAAAGGATCCTATGTAATGAGTAACTACACATTTTCATTTGAAGAATGTGTATTGGTATCAGAAAAATGTTCTTCACTGTGGTGTATAATGAAAAAGTAAAAGAAGTAAATTTCATAGTAACCCATAAAAAGACACGTGAGTAGAAAGACTTAAAATCTAATAAACTGCCCTCACTAGTTGCCCCAAGGTGTGTAACTGAGAACAACTGTCTGTTTCATCTCTTGCTCCTTCCAATTTTTCCAAAAAGGACATGCATTTCTCTCACAATGAACAGAAAAAATAAAAGTTTGGAAGAGGTAAGGAAAGTGGAGACAGAGTTTCCTTTTGACGCCTGCTGTGTGTAGGTGACCAGCCACGTGTCATTTCAGCATCTCTCCTAGGGTTAATAAACAGGGACAATTAAAATCTACATGTTGCTGATGTTTTGTTGGGGCTTTTAACTGACCGGGATTTTACTCTGTTAGCTCTACCCTCAGACCAGAGAAGGTCTCCCCAAGAAGCTGCTGAACTTATCTGCACAATAAGATACTGGACTCAATGCTGGGTATGTGCTTGCAATGAAGGAATCTCAACTGAACTTGAACTGTGGTTATGCACCATGGGGGGAGGGTTGTGGGAGGAGCGGGAGAAATCCAAGCACCTATAAAACTGTGTCACATAATACAATGTTAGTAACAATTAAAAAAAAAAAATCCACATCCCCTGGGGCAGTAGGGCTGCTTTCTGCCAGCAGGGGCGCTGTTTTCTATTCTGTAGGAGGAAGACAGTATCTTGTCTCTTCCTAACCAATTGGAAACCTTCACCACTGAGTTTCATGGTTAGTAACTTAGGGTTAACAAGACATCACTCATTCCACCAACAACTGCTAGTCAACTAAGCCGACTTCATTGTGTTGACCTCATGAAATAATGCCAGCTGACACAGATAAAAATGTCACCAGGCAGTATGTTGTTAACCTACAGGGAAACATATAGACAATGCTTATCTGTGCTACACAGCATGGTTCCCATCTTACCTTAGCAAATGGGGAGGGATCTTGACAATAGTATCCAGGCCTCCCAAGGTTTCTGCAAAAGGAGAAATAGCAAGTTCAATACATCAAGATGAAGAGTCTCCACTGTATACAGTTTTCACTTTGCTTTTTTCTCGAAATTCCTATATATATGAATTAAACAACTCTCAATGATATGCACGCAAGTCATCTTTGTTAAAATCTCTCTGCTTTGATAGCTCTGGAGACTTCCCTGAGCCCACTTCACTATCAGAGAGGAAGAGATTAAAAGCTAGAACACATTTCCCTACAGGGAATGACTAAATTCCTAACCAGAACCAGAACACTAATTTAATCTAGATACAACTGGCTATATCCATGCAATAAAAATAGAGAAACGAAAGCTGGCTCCCTGAACATCGCATTTCCATCTCCAGCAATAGCTCACACTGTGGGAGACTTTCAAGTTCACAAAGCATCTTATGCAACTTCTTACACATTTAAGGCATGGTAGATTGAACTTTTCTAAATCCATGCCATAGATAATGGATACTGGCTGGAAAGCTCACCCCAATTAATCCAATATGGATATATAATACTTTACCAAGTTTGTGAAGTATTCTCATAATTGTTCCCATTATAGAGGCAACTGTAGGAAAACAAAAACAACAACAAAAAAAACTCCACTATTCTCCTCCCCAAATCCTTCACTGTCTTAATTGCTCCTACGTGTGTCCAGTTTTTCAACTTAAATTGTGTTGCCTCCTCTCTAATTCCTTAGACTCAAAAGCATTGTTGGTGTGAATTAATTCTCCTTGTGGAAAGAGAAACTTTTTTTTTTCATCTGTTACATTTGATTATACCAAACATAATCCTTCAGCCAGCAGAAGAGAAAGGCTAAGAGGCCAGCACTCTGGCCCAGCAATAGGGCGGCCACTCTTCTCTCCGACGCTGCTCCTTGGCACCTGCCAGAGGGGTGGATGCTCCTTGTATATTGATACAAATCCTTTATGGTTTTTTTTAAGGTAAACAGAATAAACCATTTATTGAAACATTCTGTAATAACACGAAATTTTTGATCCAATGCTACATTGGCAAAACATTTCTCCCTCATAAACACTTTACTTAAAACACAGCTAAATTAAAACATAATCTGGCCAAACCGAGAAAATACTTCTGGAAAACAAAAAACTTTTATCATTCAATAGTTGGACAGTGCTTATCTAGCTTTTCCTGAAGAGTCTAAATGGAGCAAATCAAAGGTTAAATTTTCCTGTTCACTGGTCCCGACTCAGAACTCTCACCACACGAAATAAAGATTTCACAGACTATCCTTTCTTCTCTCCATCCAAAATAAATACAAGAAAAAATTAGGGATAACAACTAGGTTTTAAACATTTTACTTGTTACATTCACATTTTGTTTTTGATAACTGATCAACCAAAGGCATGTAAAGCCAAAGAAGAATCCTGTGGGAACCAATAGGCCAAAACAGTGGACTGAAGACCAATCCATGAAACTGCAACGTGAGCTCAGCAGGGTCGGTGATGCTGGGGAGACAAGGCTAAGGGAGCAGGTGGAAGGAGTGAGATCAGGATTCAGGATGAGAATGCTAAATGAAGCTGTGGGATACAAGTGCAGGGCACAGCTCAGAGGCCCAGCAGGTAGCATGGCAGGGATCATGACACACCCAGGACAATTCAAGACTGCTTGCCAAAAGGAGGTAATGAGACTGAACAACAAACTCAGCATGGTTTTCCTCCCTAGGCAGAGAGGTCTGTATGGAACTCAGGATGCTCTGATACTCCACTCCCTGCAGGAGTCAGAGAAAGGCAAAGGAGAAAGAGTGGCTGCATGGAAACCATGCAGTCTCACTGTGAATGCAGCAGAGCACCCCCCAAAGAAAACTGGTGATAAGTGGGGAACCCAAGGCAATGAGGGCCCAAAGGGCAAGAAGCAGAAGCCTGCTATGTGGCTATTGCTGCAGGATGCAAGAGTTGCTGGGGAAGAGAGTATTATGGAGGGACCAACAGGGAAGTGTCTTGCTCCTGGTTCCCTTGCAGCTCGCAATACTGTGCCATGGGGGTAAAATTCAGTGCTTTCATCTCCATGAACACCCACTTCACAGGGTTCCAATGAGGAGCAGCAGTCTGACACAGTACCAGTTTCTAACTACCTTCCCTGATCCACTGACTGACATTTGGGCTAGGGGTTGAGCCAGGGAGCCCATGTTTAGGACAGATACATGGTTGGGAAATTCAGAGTGTGCATGTTAGCTTCAAACAGTGATAAATGCCCTAAAGGAAAACACAGGGAATGGATCCAAAATAGAACAGGAGATCCTGCTACACACTGTGTGGTCAAGGTGTCCTGTAGGGGACAAGGAAACTGAAAATTATATGTGGAATTAAGCCAAGGAGGAGGCTTGCAGAGAAGCAATAAGTTCAAAAATACACCATGGCTGGAAAACAAAACATGGCTAGGGACGCGACCAGCCTGCTCAGCCCGTTACAGCCTCTCTGGATGATGTCAGCCACCATCTACTGGGCTTCCTGCCTTAAGGTACTCACGGCACTACACTGGCTTCTCATCACACCAGCCTGAGATATGGTTGAGGACTCAGGCCCAGTACTAGCCTGAGAGCTGGGTGAGCACCCAAGCACAGCACTCATACATGGGTGAGGACCCAGGCCCAGCACTTTGTGCCCCTTCTCCAAACACTCTCATCCTAAACCAAAGCCAAACCGCTCCAGAGCCCATCAGGGACCTTGATCAATCCCCACTCGCACAACTGCTCCTGCCACCAGCCTCTTTGCTCATTTCCTAGGCCACCAGACATGTCCCTGCCTTAGAGGATCATGTTGTAATGCTTTCCCTGTTTAAACTGCAACAACTTCTTCCTTCCAGGCCCCCTTCCTCGGCTGCTTTCCCTTCTCCTTTAGTTGGCATCACTAGAAGTTCTCACATGTACTTCATTTATTGGTCCACAGTATTAACAGCAAGCTCCTTTAGGAATGCGGCCTAGGGTTTTTGCCTGTTTTACTTCTAATAGTGTCCCCAGTGCACGGAGTAAAGTCTGGTACATGGTAGATGTTCATCAACAGGACTGGAGCTGTGCATAGTGGGCTGGGCTTCCTCCTTACAGTGCTAGTACCTTGTATGGGTGCTGGTTCATATTCCAGACGCTCCGCTTCCCTGCTAGTGACCTGGGAAAGTAGCAGAGACTGGTCCAAGTCAATGGGGTCCTGCATGTACATGGGAGGCCTGGAGGAAGCACCTGGCTTTAGATCATCTCAGATCGGCTCAGCTCACGCTTTTGCAGCCATTTAGGGATGGAAGATCTTTCTCCATCTTTCTCCCTGTAACTCTGACTTTCAAATACAAAAAAACATTCTTTTAAAAAAGAGTTTAATGAGATATAACCAATCATGGTATATGTGAGTTAATGAAAGGTCAACAGGACTGAAATTCCCAAAGGAAAGGGGCAGCTGGTGCAGGACAAGGCTGTGAGACAGGCAGGAGCTGGGCCATGCAGCAGGGCTGAGCAAACACAGCAAGGACTTCGATCTTCATCTTGATGGGATGCCATTCAATGTCAGAACCTGGGTTTCTAAAGTGGCACTACTTGGCAAAGGTGTTTTTTTGGTTTTTTTAGGACTAGACCAAAAAAAAAAAAAAGTGACAGAAAGCTGTTACAGAAGACAAAGATGAGGACACCGTGGGTGATGGACAAGGTCTACTGACAAGTCAGAGATGGGTTGAGGACTGCTCTGGGTGTCAGGTTTTGCACCTGGACAGATAACCATAGCAGCATATCAACTATAAGCCCCAGAGGTGAACACGGATTGTGAATTGGGTGGGGTGGGGCAGAGTTCCAGTGACTTTGGGTCATCTGAGCAGAGACACTGAGTTCTCTGTGGTTTAAAGCACAGAGCACAGCCCTGGGCTAGTGACATCAAAGTGGGAATCCTAGACTTAGAAAATTGACTGAAGGTGAGTGGGTGGTCGGCTCTGGTAGAGACATGGCAGTGTGAGAGCCATGGTCACAGGCACAGGGTCAGCCCCAGGGAAAGGCAGAGCAGTTGCCAGCTGCACTCAGCGTCCTCAGTGGAAGCAAGGGGCAGGCTGGGAGGAGACGAAGAGGAAAAAGTGAGGATCGGTACTCAATGCTCACGGTAAGAAATCTAGGTCTGCCTGGGAAGGCCACAGAAGCTGCACCCGGCAGGAAAGCATGGCTAAGACAGAGCAGGACAGTAGCTGGATAGATGGTCCGACCTCTAATTTCCAACTCCCTTTATTTTTACCGAGTTGCCTGATAAAACTGGCTAAAATAAGGGCAGAGCCTCTTCCAGTTGCACAATTCTGCCGTTCTACCTCGCTGTGCCATGCCCCAGCTCACCAACCCAGAAGTGCCAAGTCTTAAAAATAAACACTATTCTTCCAGGTCTGCTCACCCCGTCCTCCCCCAGGTTAAGCCCGTGCTTTGCAGTTTGCTCTACTACCCAGTCAGACCAGTTCTTCACTAATAAGAAAACACAAAACAGCACTAACTGGAAGATGCATACACTGCTTTGCTGGATATTCTGTAGCCGTGAGAAGCAATGATTTTCAAGCAGGTGACAGCAATGCAGTCAAAGAAGAAGGAAGTGCTATAGTTGAAAATGGCTTAAATACAAATGTGATATAGCAGAAGAAAATATAAGTAATGCTATTGCCATATGTGGTACTGCACTTTGCCGAAGGGTGAAGCTTCAAAATGTCAACAGAGTTATCACTGAGCAGGTGGCCCATAAACTCCTACTGGGTCTTTATACTGGGCTAACACTTGCCAGTGTTTTAAATCGGACATTGATGAGTATAGCTCTTTTAAGTTAAAAAAAAAAGTATCATTCAAGGGCCAGTTTCTTTGGTAACTTCTTAAATATCCGTTTCTCATATTGTAGGTACAGGATCATAAACAATAGTGCCTCTAACTCAAGGAGTTCACTACACTGCCGACATTATTTTGATTGGCAGTCATCCACTCTTCTTCCTTCTGAATAAGCCCTAATTTTGCCTTTAAGAACCAACTTATCCTAATTCTACATTTCAGTGGGATTTACAACCTAGGTTTAAGACACTTGGACTGGTCCAGTCCACAGCTAGAGGACTGGTTCAACATCAGCCACATTTCTCCATGGGACAGAACAGGACAAGTAAAACCAAGGATAGGACAGCAGTGACTGGGAGGGGTCTACCCTAAACTTGGAAAAGTCCCCTTTGTTCTGTGATGGTCCAAGTGGCAGAGGATGCCCCTCTCCCAGGATGAACTAGGTTGGGGATGAGCCACTCCCTTCTGCAATGATGCAAGTGTGGCGACTCAAGAGCCCAACTATGACGGTCCAGGAAGAGATGTCAGTCAACCCTCAAACAGCACACGAAGTCCTGGAAACCAAACATTAATCCTTGTGTCCAACTGAACTCAGCTAATCTTGCTGAACATATTCCACTAACGGAGGAAATAAAATGTGTCTTGTCTGTTTTTAAAAATTATACTTATTTAGAAAGTGTTACACAAAGAGATGGAGAGACAGACACAGAACTTTTATCTTCTAGATCACTCCCCCAGATGGCCACAATGGCCAGCGTGGGGCCAAGTGGAAGCCAGGAGCCAGAACGTCATCTGGGTTTCCTACTTGGATGGAAGGGGCCATATGGTCCACCTGAGCCATCTTTTGCAGCTTTTCCCAGGCCATTAATAAGGGGTTGGATTGGAAGTGGAGCAAACAGTACTCAAACCAGTGTCCATTTAGGATGCCAGCATCACAGGTAGTGGCCTTATTTGCCATGCCACAACACCAGCCCCACACTGCTTCAAAAAAATCTGTTGATTTCAACAGATTTTTCAATTCTCTTGCCCCTATATCACTGTCTTATAACCAGTTCTTAGCTCAAGGAAGTAAGTACTCAGAGAGGTCAGGAAAGTGGCCGATTCTGAGGTGCCCAAGGATTCTTTCTGCAGGTACAGGACCTTAGGGAGTCTAGGAAGGGAAATCTTGGAAGAAGGACAGGTGTGAGTGGGGGTGGAGAAGTATGCCATAAACAGTGTGTTCAAGAAACAGCTGCAGCAGGCACCCTCACTAACCCAGGTAGCTCCTGGTTGGGGGTGTGTGAGTGTGGCAGTGTGGGGGTGTGGGAGGTGGGAAGTCAGCTAAGGCCAGCCTCCGAAGTGCCGCCTAAGGAATCCAAAGGGGAATTTGTAAGGAAACCATGAGAGCTGAGGAGTGCTAAGTCTTTTACTATAAAAACAACATCAAGGTGGTGGAAAACGGACTGCACAGGGAAAGGCCATGTCTTCACACTTTGTTTATGCTCCATTCTCCCTCCAATGTGCCCTTCTTTCTAGCAAACTCCTCCCACAAACATTCTGCTTATCCTGTACCCCGGTTCAGTGCAAGGGGAGGGCCAAAGAAGTGCTTGAAGAACAAATAAGCCAAGGAAAGACGGACGGCCCCGCCAGTTTACTCGATCTTCAGGGAAAATCTACTTTGACCAGATCACAGCATCGCCTCCCCCATGCCACATTCATTTCCCTTTCTTTAGCCTGTTTTCCTGGTTTGCTCATTATTCATGTCCTAAATCACACACACTTTAACTACTTCCTGCACTTGTATCTCCATGTGCCCATTGCAGAGCAGTCGCGGGGAGAGGCAGGGTCTGCTGTGGCCGTCAGGCTAGATCCCAGGGTTGGCGCAAGTAACCCATCTGGCTCTGTGCTGGGCTTCCCCAGCGGCCTCAACTCAGCAGCCTTGTAGTTAGACTAAACAAGATGTTGAAAATCAAATCCCAAACTCATTAGAAACACTCGATGCCTCTCCTCCTCCCTGTTTATCTACATCTACCAAACTTACAGCAAAATAATGAATACTAGGGATGTAATGTTTGTCGCCCAGTCGGGTCCTGTGTTATTATGTTACCCAGCCATCTGTGACCCCTATTAGAGACAGGCATTTGGGAATCTAGCTCAGCATCAATCCGCTGAATGACAATAGCAAGGCAAAAAGCAGTACTGTGGCTTTAAGAGCTTGGCTGCTCTCTCAAATAGCTCATCTATTTTTCTGTAACCCTTGACTAAGACGGTCAAGTGCTTTCATCTAGATCAACTTCCTAGACGATATTCTACACAGCTGTGACGCTATGCACAGGTTTTAAAAAACCTTGTAATGATTGTACACAATCCCAAATCAAGACCTTTAAAATATGGAGTCACCCCTAAACCCCTCTGAATTCTGCATTTCATGCAAAGGCAGTGAGTGGCACACCTCTGTCCCCTTCCAGGCTGCACGAGAGCACACTGTGGAGACAAGCACCTGCTATTCCTCCCTTCCAAGAGAGTTTCAATTCTATTTTATCTTAATGGAATGGTTAAGTGAGAAATCTCCTGCGGGCTTGGGCAAGATGAGGGTTGCCTGATTTCTTCTCGGTCTTTCCTTTTGCCAAAGCATAGCTTTCACCTGAGGTAGGTTCCAGGTCTCGGCATTTCCATCACAACCATTTGGATCTGCCAAATTCCAGCCTAACTGAAATGTCTTCCTTGCTGGCCCGTGCTCCCTGCTCCCCCTCCCCCCCACGGAGTTCTGCAACCCCAGTCTGAAGGGAAACGCACATCGGTTACCTGGAACTTCTTTTCCAGGGTTCACCCATCTGAAATCCCACCTGTCTGAAGCAGAGACCGCAACAGAATTGCAGCGGGCACACAGTCCCAGCTGGATATTATTTGCCATGGATGAGCACCAAGAAAGCTGACACTTAGCAAGCTGCCTGTCTCAGGAAAATCAAATTAAGCAAGCCCTGCCTTCCCGGGTCAGCTCGCCAACGTTTCAACACCAGGGATATCGGGTTTGGAAATCAGGCCCCTTGGTCTCCAACCAAAGGCTTGGTGGTCCTGCCTAACTCGACGATGGGGGACCACGGTCGGGGGCGCGAGGTTCAGGAGGGAAGGACAGCGGTTCCCAGTCCAGGTTTAGGACAAGATAAAGGGACCCAAGGGGGTGCGGACGCACGCCCACACCCGAGCCAAGATTTTCGTATCCCATATCAATCCACCAAGGTAACTCTGGAAATTACGCGAAATGCATCCCTCGCCAAGGCTCAGAGACAGCAGCCCTCCACCCCTCGACGCGCACAGGGGTCGCTCCATTCCTGAACCGTGAGGTCCTCCCGCGGCGGTGAGCAGGTGCTCGGCGCCCGCACCCGCCCCAGCTCCAAGATCCCGGCTCTCGGTCCCCGGCTCGCCGCGCTTACCCAGGGCCCAGGTGCAGCTCTCCTTGATGGCTTTGTACTTGCTCCCAGAAGCTTCCTTCTGCAGCTTTCTCAGGATCTCTTCCATCTTGACCTCCCGAGGGGCCGGCCTCGGACAGTCGCGAGGCGCACCCGAGTCGGGCCGGCAATGCCGCGGCGCTGGCTGCCTGGCCCTGGGCTCTCAGGCGGCCGCCGCTCTCGCCCCCTGCCTTCCCGGTGCGGCCGCTGATGAATCACGCCCGCTCCACGCCGCGGGCCACGTCAGCCCCACCGCCCCGCCCCGGCGCCCCACCCGTCGGGGTCAGGTGCGCACCGCGCCGCTGCGCCCGGCTGGGCCCGAGGCTTGGCGGAGAGGTGGAGACGGATGTCCGGCTCTGGCTTGCACGCCGGCCGCGGGTCCAGCTCGGCCTGAGGGAGGGCTGGACGGCTGCCTGCAGGCGGCGGGGAGAGGCCTCCGTGTGGAAGGAGTTGCGGGTGACCCTGCTTGGAGCCCGGGAGTCTACAGCGCAATGCAGGCACCGCGTCCGCCGCAACCGCTCATCGGCAGACTAGAAAATCCACGCATCCGTTATTTAATCAACAGTGCCCCGGACCACCCCATGCCAGGCTGGGGGTGGGGTGGGGACGGTGATAGGAATGAGCTGTGACCCTCGTGCAGGGAGCTCTCAACCGCGCCCTCCTCACCCTGGAGGGAGGACTGGGTGCAGGTGTGAGCGCTCAGGATTCCCATTACACAGATGGGACCAACAAGCCTAGAGAGGCTGTGAGTTCCCAAAGCAACAAGAATTGGACTCCAAACGTGTCCTAGTCCAATTACCCCTTTTAAAATCCGGCCGTATTATTATTATTATTATTATTATTATTATTATTTTAATTTAAAGATGTATTTGAAAGACAAGGTCAGAGAGAGAAAGGAAACAGCTCTTTCATCCCTTATTTCACTCCACACGTGGCTCCAGCCTGACCTCCCACGAGGGTGCAGGAGCCCATCTTCTACTGTTTTCCCAGGTGCTTTAGTAGGGAGGTGAGCAGAGCAGCTGGGACTTGAACTGAGGGTGGGTATGCAGAACTCCAAAACTGCCCCTCCTGGGAGGAAGCCCCTCCCCTGGAAGGTAGTTGAGGAGAGAGGGGAAACGGGATTCCTGTCTTGAATATTGTGGCGGGAGTCAGAAAAAGGTTTCCAGGCCGTTGGCTTTTCCGACAGCGATGTAGTTTGGTGATGGGGGGAAGATGGTTTGCAGAGGGCACCTGGCAGCTGGGAGAGCAGTAAGGAGGTTTCGCAAAAACTTCAGAATAAATCGGGCTCTTGAGAGGCGGGGATCATTCCAATCACTTGCAAAGTCCTAGTTTGCATCAAGAAGCCTAACAAAGCCATTATGTGCAGTGGACAGCATATCCAGGTGCACATGGAGGGTATGGCAGTCCATCGGAACCTGCAGAGGACACCTGGTACCACAACAGGGCGGAGGACAGAACAAATCGATATCTCCCCCAGCCACGTGTTGACAGTGAAAATCCGGGCAAATGGAGACTCTAAGGTGGACTATGTCCGCCAGTGGATTCTGGAGAGATTTCATCGTGCCTGGAATGGTGAAATTGGCAGCGATTCAGAACTGTTGAACTATCAAAACCACTTGAGCAGGACACTTGGAGCATGAACCACATTGGGGACCTGAGATGGGTGGGAGTTGGGTGGGGTTTCTTTATCTCTCTCCTTTCCCCAGATACAGAAAAAGTAATAATAATGTGGAAACTGTGAATCCTGTAGCCCTTGACCCTTTGCACCCTAATCAAGTGTATAAAGATTATCAAAATAAAAATTTACAAAAACAAAGCAAAATAAGATTTCTAACGATAAAAACTAGTCAGAGCCATGCTTGGCAGAGCAGGTAAAGCCATCACCTCTGGCACAAAAGTAGCACAGCCCACAGGTTCAAGTCTCAGATGCCCCACTTTTTAAAAACTTATTCTTTTTTATTGAAAAGTCACATATACAAGGAGAAGAGGAGAGAAAAAGATCTTCTGTTCATTGATTCACTCCCCAAGTGACCGCGACAGCCAGAGCTAAGCCAATCCGAAGCCAGGAGCCAGGAGCTTCTTCTGGGTCTCCCACATGGCCTCAGGGTTCCAAAGCTTTGGGCTGTCCTCCACTGCTTTTCTAGGCCACAACCAGGGAGCTGGATAGGAAGTGGGGCTTCTGGGATTAGAACCAGTGCCCATATGGGATCCTGGCATATTCAAGGCGAGAACTTTATCCACTAGGCTATGGTACTGGTCCAAGATGCCCCACTTTCAATCCAACTTCCTGATAATGTGCCTGGAAAAGAAACTGAAGATAAGTCCAACTGTTTGGGCCCCTGCACCCACATGGGAGACCTAGAAAAAGTTCCTAGGTCCTAGCTTTGAACTGGCCCATCCCCAACATTTTGCAGCCATTTCGGGGAGTGAACCAGCGGATGGAGTATCTCACTGTTTCTCTGTTGTGTAACTCTGCTTTTTCAAATAAGTAAGTCTTTTAAAAAAACATGTATGCTATAAAAGGTGATGAATATGAAATCAATTCACAGAGGAAGAAATACAAATGACCCAAGACGCTACAAAAAAGTTAAAGTATCCATTCATCAAAAGAGTATACTGTCAAATAAGATGTTACTTTTTTTTTTAAACATTTGTTTATGAGTGAAAGATAAAGAGAGAAAGGGAGACAGAGAAAGAGGTCTTCCATCCTCTTGTTTACTCCCCAAATGGCTGCAATGCCAGTGCTGGAACAGGCTAAACAGGTGCTTCTCCAGGTCTCCTATGGTGGGTAGCAGGGTTTGGGCCATATTCCACTGCTTTCTCCAGACTGTTAGCAAGGAGCTGGATAGGAAGTGGGGAAACCAGAACCAGAACCAGTGCCCATATGGGATGTTCAATCCACTATGCCACAAAAATTAAAATGGCTGTAAGTTTTTAGAAGATGTATTTATGTATTTGAAAGCAGAGCGACAGAAACAGAAAGAGAGAAAGAGAAGAGAGAGAGATCTTCCCAAATGCCCCAAACAGGGCTGGGTGAGGCTGAAACCAGGAGTCATGACTTCCATCTGGCCTCTCATGTGGGTGACAGAAGCCAAAGAACCTGGTTCATCATCTTATGCTGTCCTTCCAAGAACATCAGTAAGAAACTGAACTGAAGCAGAACAGCTAGGCCAGGAACCCAGCTCCTCAGTTTGGGCTAACAATATTGCAAGTGGTGGCCTAAACCAACACAATAATGTCATCTGGTTAAGAGATTTTTTGAATGCTGTTTCCTAATTAGCACTCGTTCTTCTGGGTCTCCCACATGATTGCAGGGGCTGGAGGAATTGTGTCATTTGCTTCTTTCCCAAGCACATTAGCAGGGAGCTGGATTGGAAATAGTAACTCTCTCATGTCTTGGGAGCTGGTTCTGGAGTCCTAGAGGGACTCTGGGTAGGTAAAAAATGTAGATATCGCTCTGTTGCAACAATGCTACTGAGGAAGTGATTATGGAAATGGATAATAATTTTCTATAAGGATTCCAGTGTGTCTGCTTATACATATCCAAAGGCTTACTTATTTTGCTGAAGGGCAGAGTTACACAGAGAGAGACAGAGACAGAGAGAGAAAGAGAGAGATTAATTGTCTACCTGTTGGTACACTTTTCAAAAAGCTGCACAGTAAGGGCGCGGCCAGGCAGACACCAGGAGCCAGGAGCTTCATCAAAGTGTCCCGTGTTGGTAGCAGGAGCCCAAGCACTTGAGCTATCCTGTGTTGCTTTTCCAGGCACATTAGAATGGAACTGGATTGGAAGTGGAGCAACTGGAACTCAAATAGGGGCTCATATGGGATGCTTGCTTCACAAGTAGCATCTTAACCCACTGTGCACAATGCTACGGTCAATTATATTTGTTTTAAAAATATTATCTGTTACATAGCTTTTAAAAATACAGGCAAGGACATGGTAGGGGCTGGTGCCACACAGGTTAAGCCTCTGCCTTTGGTGCCACCATTCCATATGGGTTTGAGTTTTGGGTGCTCAACTTGCAATCCAGGCGCCTGATTACTACCTAGGAAAGTAATGGAAGATGGCCCAAATCCTTGGGCCCTTGCACTCACATGGGAGACCTGGAAGAAGCTCCACGTTCCTGGCTTCAGATGGCCCGGCTCTGGCCATTGTAAGCATTTGGAAAATGAACCACTGAGTAGAAAAACCACCTAGTAGAAAAACTTCTTTCTGTACATCTGCCTTTCAACTAAAACTAAATACATTTTCAAAAAGAATACTACGGGGCATGACAATTGAATGACACAAAAAATGTTTTATTATATAGTTAAATAACAAATTAGACAACGCTGTGTACTTTTGTGCACTAAATGAACCCAAATTTCTTATATGAGCAATTGATGTAGACAAATAAGTTTAAAAAAATACATTTTAAACATGGTAAAATATACACAAAATATTCACAGAGGTGATTTACAGTGAAGTTGTAGGTAAGTTTGACACTAAACATTTTTAAAATTATTTGTTTGAGAGCAGACACACACACACAGATGAGTACTGCTCCCATCTGCTGTTTATTCTCAAAAAAAAAAAAAGCCTGCAATGGCAAGGAGCCAAAGTCAGGAACTCAATCAGGTCTCCCACACGAGGGGCGGGAACACAAGTACTTGAGCCACAGTGTTGCCTCCCAGGGTCTGCATTAGCAGGAAGCTGGAAACAGGAGCAGAAGCTGGGCGTCAACTCCAGGCACTGTGATGGAACATGTGGTCATCCTAACCAGTGTTTTAAACTCTGGAGCAAATGCCAGCCCCAATTTTCTACCTTCATAATAACAAGAAGTGTTACTTTTTTAAAGGTAGTGCAAAAATGAAATACAGGCAGTATCCTGGCAACAAGATCAACGCACAGTGAAAGCAAGGACAACTACAGACAAGGCAATAGAGATAGGAGTGATGACTTAGGAAGCTGGTGAGCCTGCTAAGGGAAGAGCCTGGCTGCAGGAGAAGGTTAAGTCCCATGCATAAATGTATTCAGTGGGTGTTCATTACTGTAACGAATTATTTTTAGCTCACAGATTGGGGGTGTCTCAGGCTAAGATTAGGGAGCAATTTGTTTACCATCTGGTGGTGGTACTCTTGCCGGGCACTGTGTACTTAAAAGGGATGTATCTTGGACATCTCTTTGTATCTGTCTATGAAGCTGCCCCGATTCAGGCCTCTGCTCTAAGAACCCAGCTTCAACCACCGCAGTAGGATT